ATGCCAAGTAAGCAATAGTCATGATTCTTGGAGACCTCTGGGGATGTGTCTGATCAGAAACATCCTTAAGACATGGATTTTCCTTTCATAATAGTTGCTGAACACAGTATAAAAAAAATCAGATGTACTTCTTATAATTCCATCCCAGTAGTGTGACAACCAGTGGCAAAAAATCTGGGAAGTCTTTACTGTTGGAAGTCATCTCTCTCCAACACAAAGAGAGAGCATTAATGAATCATCTTGCTGTAATACTGAGAGTCCTTTTCAACTGTGAGGCTAAGAGCTTTTAAATTTAATTTATACCACGAGATCTGATTTCCAGCTACACAGACCTGTTGTGTTCTCGCTCACACTAATTGCAGCAAAGATGTAATAGTCAGTAGTGTAACTGGAAGTATTATCTATAAAGATGTTTACTGTTAGCTCATGTCTCAACTTTGCAACATAAGTACTGTATAAAGATCTGAGCACCACACTTTCAGAAAGAGAAAGATCAGTCAGAGGGATTGATCTAATGGTAGCCTTCAAATACCTAAAAGGATATTGCCATATAAAGGAATTTTACTTTTTTCCTTCATGTCCTTGGTGCACAGCATATACTGCAACACAGGAGGTTCAGGACTTAGGTAAAGCTTGCTAATGATAAAGGCAGCAAAGCCTCAATGAAAGTGGCATAGCTGTGGAGTCTACATTAATGAAAGTTAAAAACAAGCCAGGAAGGAGTCTGTCTGGAATAGCTATAATTAATAGGTGATGTTATCTCTGCCTTGCTGGCTTCAGTCCCTTCTTACGACACAAAATGATATTTCTCTCTTATATGTAATGCATTTTTCTCTTAAAACATGGTTAGTGGATTGTGTGTATTCAATTATAGTAATTTGTCAGTAAATTACCCTTCCATGTTCTGTTATTAACAGTACTGTGCAGCTCTAATGTGTGAAGGCCATAATGCATATTGGGAGTTTTAGCAGGCTATAAAAGCCTGTAGGAAGTCCTCATGCTAACAAGCCTGAATAATAACCAGGTAAGAAGTGTGAGATGGAGTATAGTTCTTTTTGCAGAAAGCCAAGTTTTCCTTAAAAAGCTATGACCTGAAAGAAGTCTTTTGAGTCCAAGTATCAATTTGGTCTTTGAAGAACTTAAGTAAGGCTGGAGATGGCAAGTTTTGCAGGATTTCTTTCTGTTTAGCCATCTTAGCAAATTTGAGCTCGGAAATTATCTGTTGAGAGAGATGAGAGAAAGAAGAACAATGCAACGCAGCCATATGGGCTCTGTTCTTACACATGGTTTGACTCTGCGGGGACATCATTCTCCAACCTGTCAAAGCTCAGCATCCAGCAAAAAATTCTGATGTAATGGATATTCTTTTTATGAGCAGTCAATTTGTCTGGAGCCCAGGCCTTTAAACTTGGCTGACAGGAAAATTCTCTATTGAGAATTGACTGGCAGACAAACAGCACTGGAATTCTAAGTATTTCTTATATCTCTGAAGAATCTGGGTTTCCTTTATAATACCTTAATTATAAAAGCTATGCTTTTAGGATTGCTCTTAATTGAATACACTTGTTTATTTTCTTCCTGGCATGTGGGTTTCCCAACTCCAGCCAACACTGTCTAGCCAGAGGTGTTCCCTGCAGACTGAAAATCATTTAGATGGTTTATTTTATTGTGTGCCTAACTTTTGTATACTAATACATGTATCACCTGATTGACCTGAATCCATCCAATGGATATATCAAATGTAGTTGGATTCAGTGGTCTTTATGGGTCCCTCCCAACCTGAGATATTCTATGATTCCACTGTTTATATGGAAAGGTCAATAACAAGGATGACACTTAAAAACTGACCTCACAGCTACTATCCTGAAATATTCTTTCACTGCTTGAGATTCCAGCTCAGAAAGATGAAGAGGAAAATTAAGACAACTTTTAGCAGGAACTATTTGTCTAATTTGCAAGTCCTTACAGTGCTGCTGAAACAGCACTTACAGGAGGGTAAAGAAATGCTGCCTGCACTTGAGACAAGCGCTGCAGCTCGAATCAAATGCTCATGATGTCTTCTCCTGGCACGGCTTCCTCTGTGCTGGCACAAACGTCTGATGAACAAATGCCTCTGATCCCAGGGGGGAAATTTCTATCCCATCTGGTGCAGCTCCACATCCTTAACTGTCAAACAGGGGACTAAAGGTTGTTTAGCATGAATGACTTTGCCCATGGAGCTTCCTTGTTACTTGGTTTATTTGTCACGCTGCATCTTCAGCAGCCTCTGAAACGTGTTTTTACAAAGTGCTCTGTGGAGGAAGAAAAAGTGTGGCTTTGAACAAATGCCATAAGATGGAGAGTCATGTCTGCTTCTTGTTTTGATCCCACTGCCTGGCTAGTTTAGAGGTTGTATGCAGTTCTGATGGATACACTGCTTTAACTCCACCTTAGCAGGGGAAATAAAATGGTAGCTTTGTCTACTCATCAATACGTTGCTGATAAAAGAAGTACTTGTCTTTCATGATTGGGCATGCACGCTGAAGCCCTGGCTGAAAGCCTTTTGTTCTTGCTTTAAACAAGGTGAAGGGAACAGAGAATGTAAAAAATAAAGTAAGTTTGATTGCAGCACAGTTGTTTTCATTACTTTGATTTTTTACACAAATTGACCGAGATGGAAACGAAGGCTGTTGTTTTCTAACGGGGTTGGTAAACATGCCATAAGTTTTTTGAAGTTTCAGATTTTGTGTAGTGAATGCACACAGAAGCCTTGGAGCTGGTCATTCTTGTGTGCTATATATCCTCTCCAATTTCACAATGAAAAATTGTAATAAAAGAACACAAAGATCTGTAATTCAGTGCTGCTTCAGAGGCTTTTCCTTTAGCTCTGAACAGAGTACTAATTGCAGAGATTTGACAGCTCTTAGGTATTCGTCACATGTACTTGCCCTTACTTTAGATGTTTAATTTAGTTGCAAAATAATTCTTCTTGAATTTGTAATTGTAATAATTGCCATTAATAACCTGGCAAGGTAGTTGGCCTTTGGCATTACATCAGGGGGAAAATGATAGTAAGATAGCTCGTCTGAAGATTTAGAAAGCTAGAGAACATCAGGGGGTCGGGGGCGGATGGAGGGGTGTTGAGGGAAGAGAATACCAGAAACAAGGCATCATGACAGGCATCTTGGGGTTTGCAGCTGGGATTTATGCAACAGGCTTATGCAATTTGGCTGTACTTCTTTGTAGAAGAAGAAGACAAGGTGTCAAATGCCAAAGAAATAATAGGGAGGATGAGGAAGACGAAGGCAGGAGAGTGTGAAATGACAGGCGGTTGGGAATATTTTGGAAGCAGAACGAAGCCACGTGCTGAGAGCTGTATCAGTGGTGGCTCATGCCACAGCAAAGCAAAAAGTATTTTTCCGTGGGTAGGCTGCCCATTTCAGTAGGTGAATAAGTCATCCACACTGAGGGGTGATGATGATCCTATGGCGGAAGGGGTGGGCTTCCCAAAGCAGTAAGTCTAACAGCAGCTGTCTCCCTTTCACTGATGGTCTGCTCCTGGTGCAGTGGCCTGCTGGAAGGCAGGGAAGACAGTGGTGACCTTGCTCTGAGGGTGCAGGAGAAGCAGGGCTGCCCCAGTGTGAGGGGGGTCCTGAGCTGGGGACAGCAGTGGACTCCATCAGGGGCCACAAGGTGATGCCCAGGGAACCTGTCTGGGACAGCAGGGCACCAGGGGCTTGGCCAAGCCAAAAGGGTGTCCTTGGGCCTGAAGATAGAGGTGGGCTGGAGGGAGCCAGGGTAGGGAGAAAAGGCTGGTGGTCACAGAAATTAATGCTTGTCTCCCTTGTGTCAGGAAAGATTAAAAGGTGGTCAGTCTTTTAGTGGTAAATGTGATCAACAGCTACCTAGAATGTTGTGTGGCAGCTGAGCCAGAGGGACTGGAGCTGTAGGTCGGATGGTCACTGGAGCTCTCAGGAGCTTCATGCTCATCCTTATGTCCCTGCCAGTCTACAGTCTTCTTGGGCATGGGCTGACTGTGAATCACAACCTGTGAATCAGTAGGTACTGTTTTGGGACTGGCTTGGGACATGTGTGTTGTGGTTTTGTTTTAAACAATCATGAAGATTGTTCCCCATTCCTGCCCTTCTTGCTTGCCTTGTGTGATGGTTATCACAGTAGGCAGAATACAGGGAGGAGGGACATAAGAGTCTGTAGGTTAAGCCTTATCTGTAGTTAAGCCCTTCCATGCCCCCACCACTGCTGTGAGTTCTGTGGCCACCAGAGGCTGGAGAGGCTGCCCAGCACCTTGTCAGCACCTGGCAGCAGGACACCCTCACACCCCTGGCTCTGGCCTCTAAAATGATATCCAGACTGATGCAGCCAGTGGTTAATCAGGACACAGAGAGCCCTGGTCTAGCAAGCGGCCTGCCCAAAGCAATTTCCTTCACTTTGTTGGAAAGGAGAAGCATCTGTCCTCAGTTCTCAGTGGAACTGGGAAAGTACAGTATCTAATTTTTCAACTGCCTGCGAGCAGAATTTAAATGCTACTCTATTCTTTAAAATAAGAGTTTGCATCTCATTCATAGAAGTTAAAACATTCCTTATTCACTCAATGAGGAAAAAAATTCAACTCTGCCTATCCCAAGCTGTCAAAGCATGCAAGAGCAGCAAACAGATTGTGGGTGCCATTAGGAAGCATTAATGTCTAATTGCTTCAAAATGGACCACAAGGGAAGATGAAAGTTATCTATTCTTGGTGCTGTTGTTGTTTCAATTGTCGATAAGCACATCAGCCTATGGCACTCATTTTGGCTGTGAAGGAGTATGATTGATTAATAAATGTGTGTTCCTTTGTAATCAGTTTCAGAATGTTGGAGTATTTTTGTAGCAAAGTCTTACTGGAGAATCTCAGAAACCTTTTTTTCCCTTAGTGACACACGTGGAATAAAAATGCATTTCTTCTCCTCGTTTTGAGTACCTGGGCTGCTAATGCATCTGTGTATCTTTTTTTTCACTTGCAGCACAGTCGTTTGAATATGTGACCTCCAATTTCTGTGCAGAAGTTGTATCTTAAAAGGCGAGACCAGACCATGTACAGAGCGAGCAGAAACAATTCACTGGCTTTTAAATCCAAACTGATGGCCTTCAATGTGGCTGATGAGTTTGTGAACAATGGAAAGTCAATGAGTTTGTTTGGTTTGAGAAAAGATGCAATACCTTGATAAAACACTGCAATGTGTCACCCTGTGATGTTCTGGAACACGGTGAGTGTTTAATATGATTTTCTTCCACCTGAACAAGCACTGTCAATTTGCTCTTGGACACTTATAATTTACTCCTACATAATTTCTCTTTCCTTGCTTCTACCTCCCTCTCTATATGTCAGGCATTCCTTGATGAAAAGGGGTGCTTATTGGAAAAAAAAAAATCATCTGATCAGGAATCCAAACCCTTAAAAAAATAAGGCTCAGTGCTGTGGAAGAAAGTTCGTAGCAGCCCAGGGCAATGGCCTGTGTAATTGCCAAGTCAATCAAGCCATGAAGCAGAGGGCAAAGGCTTTGATTTCTAGTCCTCCCATTTGCAAGTGCACGCTGGGCTGTCATTGCCTTCAGCCCCTACCCTTAAAATCTCTCAAGCTGCCTTTCTGCTGGTGATTCATACTTAGAAATAAACTTGCAATAAAAGCATTAGTATTTATTTTGAAATCACACTCATTAAGCTTTTCTCAGAAAAAGAAACAAGATTTAAAGGAACATTTTATCTCCTGGACATCTGACAAGAGACAACTTGGGTGACTTTGTAAGCTTTCATAATTAATAATTAGAAGAAGTACATTTTCTTTTCTTTCCATTGTTTTTTTCCCCACTGAGACAGTCAGTGTTATCAGTTGATTTCTCTAGGTTACTGGGGACATGTTTGGATAGAGGGCAGGTTTTGAAGCAAATCTACATATAAAATGTACTGCTAGTGTCTGATCTTTGACAGCCAAATAAACTTAGCTCACAGGATCTATCTTCTCTTTTAGACTGATTCCTTTAATTTCATTTGTTTCTTTTCTTTCTTTCTTATGAAAGGAAAACATGACAAGTTGGTCAGTGATCCAAAACTAGCTCAACTCAACAGAAAAAGACAGTAATTACTGCTTGACTCCTGGGATTTGTTTTAGGCCCAGCTGAGATTTTAAAGAGTGATGTGAAAACTCTTTAACATAGTCATGTTTTTTGATACCAAATCGCCTTCTGAGCAATCTCACAGAGTAGACAAAGACTTAGTGACCAGTGACGTAAACCTGCTCGTCACACTGATGACAGCTTGCTGCCCCAGACTTGGGAAGGGTTAGAGTTACAAGTCTGTTTGATTCACTTTCTGAAAAGAAATTAGGGAGTTTGGCAGTCAGCCTAGGACCTCAGTAAACAATATGAGAGGAAAAAAAGTTTCTTTTGCTGCTTTCTCAAGGGATGAGGTGGAGTCAGTGCAGTTCAAATGAGCTTTGGAAGCAGTAGGTGTCTATTCTTTGGACCAGAGTCACTGCACTAAGGCAGGCAGCCTGCAACAGGGCTGCCTTATGGGTATGATCTTACCCATTAAACAAATTCACACAGAGAAAGGTTAAGGTTGGAAGGTTCCTCTGGAGACCATTTAGTCCCCTCCCCTGCTCAGGCAGAAGGTTGTCCAGGACTGGGACTCCAAGGAGGGAGACTCCACAACTCCTCTGGGCAGCATGTTCCAGTGTTTGACCACCCTCACTGTAAAGCAATTTTATTTTTTCTGTTTGAGTGTAATCTGCCGTATTCCAGTTTGCACTCACTGCCTCCTGTTGACAAATATTGACAAATTTCTTCCATATTCTAACACATCTGCCGATGACAATTTTCCTTTTTAGGTCCTAACTTTTAATTTTCTTTTTCTACTTACACTCCTAGCCTTTTGTTTGCTTGCTGATTCCACTTGTTCTTTGAGGCTGCAGTCTTGTAACTTCAAAATTCCTTTTTTGTTGCTGGGAATTTGTTGTCCAGTGAGGCGAAGGCCATAGGGTAACAGAAAGTGTAAAACATACTTTTTCCATGTACAGGCAGCAGAACTTGAACATCTGGAGTCTGCAAATAAGTAGCATGTCTTGGTTATACTTATCAAAGCTGCTTCTTTACCAATGTGTTGCTGCTTGCCCCATTTTTTTCCTTTAGAATGTGTCTCTCAGTCCCTTCTAGGGTTTAATCTTTGGGTATGACCATCCAGTGGTTTTCTTCAGACTAGAGAAAATTTTTATTCTCACAAACGCCGTGGGATGCACCTTTAAAATTTTTATATGTGACTCTATATATTTTCAGAAGACTTCTAACCATACATAGATCACCTTGAAGACTGAAAATTCAAGTGAACTTAACCTCATGTAAAAAAAAATAAATTTTTAAAAGTACCCAGAAAAATCCTATTTTTGCTCTTGAGTGCTTTTAGAAAATAGTTGTCATTTCTTTCAAGGAGTTAGAAAAAAAATCTATATTTTTTTGATTTTTAGATTTCATCAGAGTGATTCCTCCATGTGATAAATTTTTCTAGAGAAGCAGGAACAGATTCAACCCTTATTCTAGGATTTACCTCTTATTTCATGAATATTAAAATATATATTGATTTTTCTAAAAGCAATTATCAGAGAAAAAGCCAGAAGGATTGCTGTCTTGACTTTGCATCTTTTAAATCCTAATTACAAATTTGATGTGCCACTCCATTTGAATTTAAAAAAAAAATTAACCACTTAGCTTGGAACTACATTTGTGTTTTCTAAAAATGCCATTTCCCTTCGCAGAAAGAAAGCAATTTTTTTTTTTTTTGGTGGTTTAACTAATATTTCCCCATCTGTGCTTTGCTTCTGCACTCTCTTTGTGGGAAAACTGAAGTCACAACCAGAATGCCTGGCAACAGAAGCAATGGACTTGATATTTATATTAGAACTGTAACACATGGGCATCTGTTCTCTCTACCCTTTCAAAGATATTGCTTCCAAGGACTAATATTTGGATTTTTCAACTATGGGCGGCTGCTGATAAGTAAGGTTGGTGTGAGCCTGGAAAGAGACTCTGCTGTAGCCCACGGGGACAGACAGAAGTGTCTTTTTCCAGCCTGGGGGCTGAGACGGTGCTGGGTTGGCCTCCTTGAAGTGAGGCAGAGCTGAGTGACCCTGAGCTCTCTTTCAAGCTGAGAGATCACTTCTTTCTGCCTCTGTTTTCTCTACACATAAAATAAGAATATTGAAACCAGTCTCATTTGATCAAATATTTTGAGCTCTACCGAAGGAAATGTGCTGATTCTAGAGGTTTTCATCAGTAAGACATGCACCTATAAAAGAGAAAGGACCAAAGAAATTTCGGTAGTACAGAACAACAGTGACAGGGAGGATGCATTAAGCAAGAGATGAGTATTCACCCTTAATACGTGTGACTAATCAAGATAATTATTTTTCTCCTGATTTAGGGTGAGATTTTTGCGGCAGCCAGCTTTCTGTTCAAAAGCAGTTTTGAATGAACAGGTGGGCTGGCATGGTGCACTCTGCCTTTTCCTTTGGGAGCTTAATACCTGTTATCCCAAAATGTCTGTACTCTGTGTTAAAAGTCTCACAGGATCTCAGTCTTCCTGGCGGTGAGTTCACTTCCTAAGCACACATATTCACACAGCAGGTGAATTACAGAGTGTTGAGGATGTTGCATTATTTATTATCTCCCTTCTGTGAGGTGTGTTTAAGGCTTAAACCCTGAATTGTGCCAGGATGAGATGGAAATACCTATTCCTGGCTACAACCGAAACTGTGTTGCCTGCCCTTAGAGCAAAGGCAGCAGAGATAAGCCTGTTCTCTTGCTAAAGAGAAGTTGGATGGTTTGCATACCTGCTCCTGCATCATTACTAGGAGGTAACAGGCTTAATGACCCAGATGCAAACCAAAAGCACCCTGTGCACAGACCCTTTCAGGAGGCACAGGAGCCAGGCTGCACCCAAAGAGGGCACTCCCTTTCTGCCCTGCCTCAGACTGCAGATTGATCTTGCCTTTGGGAAGTTTTTTTGTGGTATTTCTGCTTGGGTAAGAGCACTTTTAAGCGGTAGGCTGAGGGTTAAGCTGTAGCACGGGGAAGATGGGAAGAATGTGTCAGCCTGTTTTCTTCCCACAGTTTTTTTATTTAATTTTCAAATGCTATCTAAGACAACATTGAGGATTGCAATGCTCAAATATTTGTCTAGCAGGGGTTAGCTTGTACTGCTTGTATTTCTTGTCTTCTAAATACACCACTATGCGTTTCCACCATCTCTGCAGTAATTCCTGCTTAGAAATGAGAAGCTGACAGTCTTGAATGAGCTCTATGTTAATCACCAAACACGGGGATGAAAGAAGGCAAAATTATTTCTGTGCAGTGAGAGGTGGGAAAGTTACGCTGTTCTTGTACTGAGAGGCTTGCTTGCAGTGCTCAGGCAACAATACAAACAACAGTAGGAAAGAAAAATGCTGCACGAAAAGTGAGACAGGGCATTTGACAAAGGCTATGATTCAATGATAACCTCGACCTGAAATGTTTGGGAACTGACTCATGGATCTATAACTCTTAAATCACTGAATGAATCAACACCAAATAAAAGAGTTAGAGGTGCAGACTTCTCTGTGAGAAGTTTGTAAAATCCTTGGTGTGCTGCTTTTCACCTTGGAAAATCTTTCTCTCCTCCCCTGTACACACCTATGCCAGCTGGTAATTGCCTGAGCTGGAGAGGTGCCACAGCCCAGCACCTTACGGTCCTTCATCTAGTTCAGAGGTTATTGGTCCCTGAGTGTCCTAGAAATTAGAGCAGACAATGCCACAAAGCACTGGGGTGACAAAATTGTCCTTTCTTTGGTGAATAATGCTTGTGGCGTTTCAATTGCGTTGTATGGGTTAAAATCATCAACATGGAAACAGCAGTTCATTTCAGCACCAACAAAACTAACTTACTTGTCTTAATTTATTGGGTTTTTTAAAGACAAAGGTACAATCCTTCTAACTGGGGGAATATATTATTTGTTAAGTTAGCAACCAATCTGAGAAATCAATTATTTGCATGCCCCTATTTCATGTCATCGTTGCAGTTGGTGCCAACCTGTTTTTGTTTAATATCATTAGCATAAAGTGTAACCTTAGCCATATTACTTTGGAGTTTGATTGCTGATCTTTAAGCCTCTTTTGTAAATGGCAAAATTCTGAGGAGAAAGTCTATGACAGAAGCTTGCAATACATATAATTGGTTGCAG